CACTTCTCTTGCCCTCCTGGGAAGTCGTATGGACGGGAGAATCTTTTGCAGGCCCCCCTGCCTCCCCCCCTTCTTCCTTCCTTCCTTTCTCTCTCTCTCCCCCCCACCTTCTCTCTCTTTCTCCTTCCTCTCTCTCTCTCTCTCTCTCTCTTTCTCCCTTCCTTCCTTCTTCCACCCACCCTACCTGTCTAGGGGTCCGTTGTCTCCGTCCACAACGGGCTTTGCTCCCTAGTAATAATAATATTACACAGATAGAAGGTTGGGTCCCAAAGAACGGCTGATGGAGCAAGTTCGTGGAAGAGATCTTTGCAGATTTATCCCTCACCCAAATTCCACTTCTGATGTTCAGAGGATCCTCAGGGACCTTGTGGCGGACGCCATGATAGCTGCATCCGGATGGGGGCATTGGTAGAAATCTCCCCCCCACCCTTCCCGGGGAAACTCTTCAGGAGGTGGGGAGAAGAGAGAGGCTGAGGGTAACAGGGTGGGGGAAGACGTGAAAGGGAAAAGCCCACAATTCAGAATGAAAAGGTTTGGTGACCTCACTTCCTTGTAGGCTAAGCCTGCCTCACAGAGTTGTTGTGAGTCTAAAATAAAGGGGTGGGGGGAGACAATGTGTGCAGTTCTGGAGGCCTCACTTCCAAAAGGATGTGGACAGGATGGAGCGGGTGCAGAGGAGAGCGACGAGGATGATCGGGGGCCTGGAGACCAAGAAGCCCTATGAGGAAAGGCCGGGGGACTCGGGAATGTTCGGTCTGGAGAAGAGGAGGGGGGGGGGGGGGGACAGGATGGCTCTCTTGACGTATTTGAAGGGCTGTCACTTGGAGGAGGGCAGGGCAGCAGTGGAGAGGACTCGCAATTATGGGCTTAAATTAAGGCTGGGACAATACCAGCTGGATAACTTTTTTACAGTCAGAGTTGTGCAACAGTGGAATCAGCTGCCTGGGGAGGTGGTGAGCTCGCACTTATCCAAGAGCAATCCAAAATGATCTAGATAGGCTGGAACAGTGGCCTGGGACAAATAAAATGAATTTCAATAGAGATAAGTGCGAAGTCCGGCACTTAGGTACAAAAAATCAAAGGCACAGATATAGAATGGGAGGGACTTGACAGCAGCACATGTGAAAGGGATCTGGGTGTTCTGGTTGATCACAAGCTAAACATGAGCCTGCAGTGCGATGTGGCTGCGAAGAAAGCGAAGGCAATCTTAGGATGCATTAACAGAAGCCTTGTGTCCAGATCACGGGAGGTGGTAGTTCTGCTCTATTCTGCTATGGTCAGGCCTCACCTGGAGTCCTGTGTCCAGTTTTGGGCACCACATTTTAGGAAGGATGTTGACAAGCTCGAGCGTGTCCAGAAGAGGGCCACCAGGGTGGTGAGAGGGTTGGAATCCAAGTCTTACGAGGAAAGGCTGAAAGAGTTGGGTATGTTTCGCCTGGGAAAGAGAAGGCTTAGAGGGGACATGATGGCAGTCTTCAAGTATTTGAAGGGCTGCCATGTAGAAGATGGAGCAGATCTATTCTCTGTTGCTCTGGATTGCAAGACTAGATCTAATGGGTGGAAATTACAAGGAAGTCGTTACCGGCTAAATATCAGGAGAAACTTCCTAACTGTAAGAGTGGTTGAGCAGTGGAACAGTCTGCCTCAGGAGGTGGTGGATGGTCTGCTGTACGTTTTTGAGCGGAGGCTGGACAACCCTCTTTCGGGTATGTTGTAGGGCTACCTTTCGGCTGTGCTCCTGCAGAGTGCAGGAGGCTGGACTAGATGACCTTGAAGGTCCCTTCCAACTCTTAACATTCTATGATTCTTCACCCCAACATCTTTCGAGACAGGCGTTCGGTCAAACAGACTGTGGCGAATGCTAAATGTTAAAACTGTGCCTTGGTTCTCACAGGGTGAATACGTGGCATCCGTCTGGGGGCTTCACCTCTTCGTTTATTTTTTCAAGAAGAAAAAGATCCACAGGTAAGGAGAGACAGCGTGAGCTGACTACATTGTGGGACACGAGGCCACACTGCCTGCCAATGCTAGTATGTTGTTGTTCAGTCGCACAGTCGAGTCCGACTCTTCGCGACCCCGTGGACCAGGTCACGCCAGGCCTTCCTGTCTTCCACCGTCCTCTGGAGTTTGCTCAATTTCATGTTCGTTGCATCTATGACACTGTCTAACCATCTCATCCTTTGCCGTCCCCGTCTTCTTTGACCTTCAATCTTTCCCAGCATCAGGGTCTTCTCCAGTGAGTGCTCCCTTCTCATTTGTATGCTAGTACAGGACTGTGTATGCGGCCACTGCCTTTGGATGAGAGCAGTCATTGGCCTTTCTTGTCCTATCGGGATATGCTGAGATGGGGAGGTCTCCACCCCTGACCCTCTTCCGTCATCTTAGACTGAACACCTTTCCTTCTAGGAACTCAGGTCTATGGCTGTAGATATTTTTCCCATGTGGTGACATTTGCTAAAGGTGTCTGGCTTTGGTGGGGTTTTTAGCCTCTGCATTCCCGGCATTCGTCCAGTTCCATTTCCCCTGTGAAATGTCGAACTGGCGGTGCTGTATAAAACCATACAACGTCTCAGCGGGGGTTTTGAAGAAAAGGAGCCGTCCCTCAAACGAGCCGAACTTCCATCAGCCTCATAGAAGATCTGGGTTTAAAGTACACGTTGGGCGTCTGTAACCACTTTTTGCTTTGGTTGCCTGCAGTTCCTGGCATTAGAAATGGGTGCCACGGGTCAGGCATGTGTTAGATTTGGACACAGACTGAGAGCAAAAGCTATCTTTTTAATCCGGTTTGGTGCAAGAATAAGGGAAGATGACCAGATTCCTTGGGTCCGTGTCACGACAAGTCCTTCCCTGTCTTCTGCCCCAGTGATCAAATATGGGCCCCTCCTCATTAACCGTGCAGTGAACACCTGAGTTCAGAGGTGTCTAATGCATTTGTTATGAGAGCCAGATCTGACGTAAAAGTCATTTTCTCAGGCCGGGGCATGTGTGACATAAAGTGTAATGCCAGGTACTGGAGATATCTCTCCCTTATATATAATTGAGTAAGACACAGCGTAAGACTCAGCGGAGAAAAAAATGTGCTCTGTCAGCCATTAGCTGGCCAGCTGCCATGCCATTGGCTGGGAGGCAAACGCTGCGTGTGGACGGTGCGGTGGTGGCACCAATGCGCCCCTTGCTGCGGCCCAATTTCCCTCCCCCCCACCCAGTTGGAGGCCAGCAGCGGCAATTCCTTCTCCCCCCCCCCAACTGTCCC